TCCTCCTCATTTCCTTATTTCCCCCTTCCTTCCCTCTCTTCCTCATCATATCCCTCTATCCCTTTCTTTCATCCTTCCTGCAACAGTTATATGCCAAGGACTCGGAATATGTGCTGAGCCATATGTGTAGCCTTCCTTCCTGGGACTCCTTTCATTAGGAATGTAGACTTGGGGCTGCCACGGGGGATCAAGGCATGACTCACGGCTAGCAGTCCAGCTGGAGAGCTATTTCAGGAGACCATAGAAGACAGACTTGAAGCTGTTACCAGGAAAATTGTGGTGTCACTGCAAAAACAGGGTGTGAGCCGTTAACTGTCATTAGAGCATAGTAGAATTATCGTATGGTACAGGTGACCCTTAGACAACACAGCTTGGAACGGCGTGAGTCCACTTATACACAGATTTTTTTTTTCGAATAAATGCAGTACCCTACTGCAAATATGTTATTTTCTCTTCCTTATGATTTTCTTAACATTTTTTTCCCTCTAGCTCACTTTGTTACAAGAACGCAGCATGTAACTCACAAAGTATGAGTCAGTCGACTGTTTATGTCATTGCTAAGGTTTCCTATCAACAGTGGGCCATTAGTAGTTAAGTTTGGGGGGATTCAGAAGTTGTACATGGGTTTCCTGCTGGAGAGGGGGTTGGTTCCCCTAACCCCCGTGTTGTTCATGGGTCAGGTCTATTAGAGAGTGAACCTAGGAGCCAGACTGCCTGGGTTTATATGGCAGCCTTAGCCCTTAGTAGGTGTATTACCTTGGGCGAATTGTTTCACTTCTCTCTGCCTCAGGTTCCTCATCTTTAAAATGGAGATCGTAATAGTACGTTCCTCACAGAGTTGTTGTGGGAATTAAATGAGTTAATATGCATAACCTCCTAGAAAAGTGCCTGGGACATACTGGCCCTATATAACCATAGACTATGTTTATTAAATTGCTCCTAGTACATTGCATGAGGATGAACTTTCAAAAGAGGAACCACTCGGTCCCATTTTTGCTAGAAACAATACATCCGATAGTTTGTGTAGAAGTGAGCATCTTTTCAGGAAGATAAAAGTCAAACATATTCCAATATTATGGAAAGAAATAAATCATAGCAATTCTGTAGAGTCAATCTGCTCATTGTTATAGTACTTACCTTTCCAAACTTGGGAAGAAATGTAAATAAACAGGCATATTACATATGGTTACATATTAAGTTTTAGAGGTGAAAAGTATGTTCAGCAGTTGACAAATTCTGTTCAAATATCAGAAATGTCTTACAGACTGAAATCCAAGCCTTGGATACCATTGGGATAGCCTCGAGAGACTCATCCTCTATTTTTATTGTCTAAGCTAATGGTCCATTAACACAGCTTCTTGAAGCTAAGCCCGTCAGATAATGTGTGCCTTCTAGGGCAAAGACGCCAGGTGGGTGTTTCCTAGTGGTGGAAAGCAACATTATTTTTCCTAGGGGAAGAATGTGAACAATCCCACTTTTTTGCATAATGGTAACAATAATAAGAACATTATATAACGGGCAAAGAAATTGCCAAGATGACATCAGCGTTCAAAGGGAAAATCCCCATGTTCATAATCAGTTTAATGATTTTGGTTTCAATACTGGCTTGCCCTCATTAGCTATTCAGATAAATGGTGCTACTTTTAAGGATCATCAATATACGAAGAACATCGACGCCCTTTCAGACTCATTGGCATATTTGCATTAGCGGACTGATATAAAACCAAAAATTTCAGGAAGCTTTTTATAGCATTTGAGCAGTGTTTCCTTCTTTAGAAATAAACTTCCAAAGTCTCAACATTATTTCTGACCTTATTTCTTATCTCCACAACACAAAATAATTTCTATGATAATAATAAATAAGCATCTCAGGGTATGAGAACTGAGAGTTATGCTCTTTTTTTTCCCCGGCTTTCTGGACGTAATTTTAAACACCCTAATTTCAAACTGCCAGGTATTTGAATTTTAAGCCATTTTCAATTTGGTGTCACCAAACAAGTGTGCAACATCAATGGTTCTTATTCCTGATAAGTCTGTCCATTCACTCATTCTCCTTCCCTGCCAGGAAATAGTTAAGCTTCATGTGTCAGAAGATTCCCAACACAGGGCTCCTGGGTGGCTCATTCAGTTAGGTGTCGGACTATTGATCTCAGCTCAGGTCTTGTTCTTGGGGTCATGGGTTCAAGCTCTGCATTGGTCTCTGGGCTGGGTGTGAAGTCTACTTAAAAAAAAAAAAAAAAAGCTGCCCAACCCGGAGTGGCCTCTCAGCCCTCTCAGTCATGCTGACTCTCAGATGTGAACCACCACAACTTCCTGTGTCCCAGGAAACACTTCAGCTTCATCCGTCCCTCCTGATCAGTTCACCAAAATCTAAGTGGTTAGTAGGACCTCACCGCATATGCCTATGACCACCATGTTTTGCTAAATTGCCACGCGGGCAGTCTTGGATCAATTAACTACTAAGCCTAATTGAACTCAATACAATGAATTGTACAATATTGAGCTGTCTAAATTTAATTCCGCTAAAATTACGGAATGAATCTGGAACATAAAGGATTCCTGAAAAAGGAAAATAGGTATCGGTAAAGACCACTTTTGATAAATCCTTCTTACTTACCGCTCGCTGCTTACCCAAGACTCCAGTGAATCTGGCTTATGTATTTTGGAACATATTGTTCACCATATGAAAATCACACACACGTGCACACACACACACATACACACACACACACACACACACACACACACACACACCACTTGTGTTCCTTTGCCTCGTGGATTTAAAAGCATGCTTTGTTCTCATCTATCTGACATAATTAATAAATTGATAGAACACCATAATGCATAGAGATGTGATAGCAGCCATCTGGGATGGATGTTGGTTGGAAGTTATTTTCTACTTAGCTTCCCGTGTTGTGGTATTTAAGGCAAAACTTTAACGAGCACCAAAACTAAACTAAGACAACTAATACTTCACACCTGTTTGGTGACGCCAAATTAAAAAAAAAAAAATTCAGTGTTTATGTATTTATTTTTGAAAGAGAGAGAGCGCGAGATGGAGAGAGGCAAAGAGAGAAGGAGAGAGAATCCCAAGTAGCCTCTGCATTGTTAGCACAGAGCCCGATGTGAGGCTCTAATCCATGAACTGTGAGATCGTGACCTGAGCTGAAACTAAGAGTCAGACGCTCAATGGACTAGGCCGCCCAGGTGCTGCTAAAATGGCTTTAAATTCAATTGCCTGGCAGTTTAAAATTACGTCAGGAAGGCAGAAAAAAACAAGACAAAACAATAGCTTCAAGTACATGCTTGAAGTAAATTGATTCATTTGTAATGATAAAATCATATTGACTAATTTAATTATTATTCATCCAGAGTTGTAAACCAAAAGCCAGTTTTCGATAATCGAATCTGCATCTTAAAATCATTAGAAATACGTTTCTTATGGAATTCCACAGAATGGTCATTTGGTTATAAAATTTTTAAAGGAAGGGGCTCCTGGGTGGCTCAGTCGGTTAAGCGTCCGACTTCAGCTCAGGTCATGATCTCATGGTTGGTGAGTTCAAGCCCCATGTCAGGCTCTGTGCTGACAGCTCAGAGCCTGGAGCCTGCTTCGGATTCTGTGTCTCCCTCTCTCTCTGCTCTTCCCCTGCTCACATGCTGTCTCTATCTTAAAAATAAATAAAGATTAAAATAAAATAAAGAAAAGAACATAAAATATTTAAAAGAAAAATAAATGACCCTAGAGAATTAAATGTTTCATATGCATTTTTGTATTTAATCTTTAATAAATGTAGAGTTTAATATTATCTGTGAATATGCAAGGTGAAAATGCATATTTGAATATAATATATAAATTATTTATGATGAGAGACAGACGCAATGAGGGAGAAGAGGGGATCATGGGTAGTGACAGACTTACCATTTGGGATCCACATATTCAGACTTAAGGTAAGTAAAGAGTTTAAGGAAATACCGGATTCACACAGTGGATGCTGGTTGTTCAAGCTCATTTGTTTTTAAAGCTTATTTAAACTGTTTAGGAATTCTTCTGACAAGCCATATGTTGCCACAGCCAGAGCCCTCTCACACAGAATAAAATTGTGCAGGTTGTTTTGAGTTTCATTGTTTACTGACAAACCATAATAGCAATCCTGGTCTTGTTTCTGTCTCAATTATGCAAAAGGGAGAACATGACTAATTAATCCTTTCAAGTTGAGAACACTCTTGAAAGACTTTTGATCATTTGGACTGTAACATCCTCACAAATACTGATCCTTAGGATACCAAATTATTCTCCCCATTGACTAGTGTGGTACTTACACGGTTTTTGAATTTCAAAGATATTCCATTTGTTTACCAATTCGAAATCTTGACAAAAATGGCTTCACAGATCACTCACTAGATAATTAAAATTCAGTAATATCTGAGTATATGAAATGTACCAGTAACAGATAATGTACAATATTATAGTTCTTTTAGAATTCTAGTGTATTACTTTAATGACTTTTGCATTGATGTTCTTATGTAACTTATGTATTTGTTTCTTACATTTTGTTTTTGCAAAAGCAAGAGACAGTTCCCCTTTTTTGCAGTAGCCAAATGTGCTAAAAAGCAAAATAAGTTTCCAAATAGAGGAGACTTCAACACATATCTTCGGAGTATATTTAATTTTGTGCATGCATGAAAGATAATAATGTGATCCCAGGTACTAAATATTCCTCAGCCATTCGCTCGCAGTACTGCTATCTGGAATAAAACTAGATTAAATGTGCAGAGCGGTGAATTACTGAAAATAATGAAGCTAAGGCAATTCATTAATCTTTATCTGCTTGTCTATTTTTTATAGCCGGGATGAAATGGAAAAATTCATTTGGGGGCTGATCAGATCGAAAAGCGTCTAACATTATGAAGAGAAACATGGGGCTGAAAATGTTTTTTTTTTTTTCCTTTTTGAATTGAACACAGCACCTTTTTCTTACATGCCTCTGTTTTTCTTTTAGTGGCAAAGCATTTCTATAACACTGGTTGAGAAAGTTCAGATGATTGCTGTAATCCTAGGATCCCTGTTCTTAATAGCAAGTATGACCTGGCTCCTCTGGTCTGCCTTCAGCCCCTATGCAGTGTGGCAGAGGAAGGACATCCTTTTTCAAATCTGCTATGGAATGTATGGTTTTATGGATCTAGTGTGCATAGGTAAGACCATGCCGTTGAACGTTAACAAACTGTCAGTAATCCATTTCTTTCAGCTGTTTTACTTTCGCCAGTGGGATCTGGGGTAGAACGTTGTGGTTCACGGGATCTCGGTTCTCCAGGTACTTAACTGTCTGGGGTGTCACAATCGGGCCGCTTTCCTCAAAAAGCATAGCGTCTATATACCCAAGTTGTTGCAAAAAATTTAACAGAGTAATGCCCATTTGAAGTGACTTGTTTTGCAAGGTAAAGGAAGGAAGAGTGGAAGAAATTATTGCGGGGGGGGGCAAAATAAGGTCATTTATTTCTATGGCATGAGAGCAAATCAGCCCCCTTTCACCAAGCTGGGAAGGCATTGACTGGTGACGGTGGTGGTCTGTGCATTTGGGGAGAGGAGGGACAGACCCCTAGTGGTCCTACCTCGTGGTCAAGTGACTCAGGTGCCTCGAGGGCACAAAGTACTCTTTGGCGGGATGGGGGCCAGGAGGTCAGTTTCTCCTATCACCTGTGCCTCTTTGTTTTGCTTAATACATTCAGTGGCTTAGAAGAGAAAAAGGAGCAAACATTTTGGCTTAAACAGATCCCTACGAAAAAAAAAAAAGGTTATTTGCACGTTCCTCTTGACTGATCTGCTGTTTCCCCAATACCAAGAGAAAGTGGAAGCCAATCCATGCAGCAGTTATGTGGCGTGTAATTACGCAGTTATCACACTGGCACTGTGATGGTGTCTGGTTGGCAGTGGGGGGCAGGCACATAGAGGGGCCACGCGGTCTCGAGGGGACTGTCCCTGCTCTGATGTGGTTGCAGCTCGGTGGGGCGTAAAAAGAGCTGAGAGAGGCAGCCGTGGTTTAGAGCAATGGTCCTACCGCTGCTTCTTAAGAAGTGCACATTCTCAGGCTCCACCTCATCTGCCAAATCAGAAATTTCAGGATTGGGGCCCCCCGGCCGCCTGTGCATCACAAGTCCCCTGGGATTCTGAGGCATGCCGAAGCTTGGGGGACGCTGGTTGCAGGGAATGGTGCAATTTGGGATCCAGTGACTCGGTTCCCAATCCTGGGCTCCGCGGGGACTAATCAACTCTCTCTCTCCGTGTCCTGGATGGAAATAATAATCCCTAGCACACAGGCCCAAATCAAGGAAATCATGATTAGAACCAATTATGTTATTAACTGGAAGTTACAGATTAAAGGTATTTGAATAAGTCACAAACATTAAAGCAACTCAAATCATTCACACTAATGCCTGTGCTCACTAGAGCCTTAATTTCACTAGCAGTTTAAATATCTTCAGTCACTTTTTCTAAAAGAACCCTATACATTTTAAAATAGGATTAGCCAGAATTTCCTCTCTTCCTCCTTCCTCCCTTGTCACTAGCACAAGACTAATAGGAAAGAAAATGATCAAATTGCAGGCCAGGAAGGGAAAAAGGAGGTGTGTGGGGGGGAAATGTCATGAATAATATGTAAACTGAGCAGATGTTGCCTGAATAATGGAGCTAATGATGTGTATGAACAATTTGCATTAAATGTGATAATGCACTTGTAAGCATTTGGAAATGCTAAATCTCTATACAAATATAATCTCTAGGGTATTGCTCTAAATAAAGAAGAGTCACAAAACTGTTCTACAAATTCCTTAATAAATTCAGAGATAGATAGTATTTATTTCTTTTCACCATAAATGTTATAAAATGTGGTATTCCGTTGATACGAAAAGGAGAGATGAAAAACAAAGAAACCATTAGGCTTCCAGTCGAACGTGGAGGGAAAAAGTCCCATTGGCTTTGATATCATTACAGCACTAAAAAACGAACGTATATTTATACATCCTGGTTAGGAAATCATTATCCTGGCTTTCCTTTCTTCTTTTTTTTAATGTTTATTTACTATTGCGAGACAGAGAGAGAGAGGGCATAAGCTGGGGAGAGGCAAGAGAGACAGACAGACAGACAGAATCTGAAGCAGGCTTCAAGCTCTGAGCTGTCAGCACAGAGTCCAATGCGGGGCTGGACCCCACGAACCATATGAGATAATGTTCTGAGCCGAAGTAGGATGCTTAACCGACAGAATCATGCACCCCCATTATTCTGGTTTTCAAAGCTTGCATTTAGTACCAAGTTACCTTATCTTAAATTTTGATTGCTAATGCCAGTTTCTTAATAAAAATTATTAAATTTTGGTTTTAAACGCATAGGCCTATGGACTAATGATTTTTGGCAGAATATGGACATATTTGGGCTTCCCTTTTGAAATCTGGGTATTTGCCCATTTTATGAAGTCAAGTTTCTTAGGAACACAAACCAATCAACATTTTCCTGGCTTACACTTTGGAGAGTGCATTTTTATTGACGTTTTAAATAATGACAATAACCTTTCATTGCATTCTAACTCATTAAATCCAAATCTCACCCTTGCAGGATTTATTTGTTTTTTTTTTTTTTTTTAATTATCTTTAACGTTTATTTATTTTTGAGACAGAGAGAGACAGAGCATGAACGGGGGAGGGGCAGAGAGAGGGCGACACAGAATCGGAAACAGGCTCCAGGCTCCAAGCTGTCAGCACAGAGCCCGACGCGGGGCTCGAACTCACGGACCGCGAGATCATGACCTGAGCCGAAGTCGGCTGCTTAACCGACTGAGCCACCCAGGCGCCCCAGGATTTATTTGTATTTTTTGAAAAATGTCAAAGAATTCGGGTTGAACAACCTTGTTCGTTTTCAGAGAGTATCTTATTTTTTCCCTCAAGAAATTGGGAAACAACTATAGCCAAGTTAGCAAATACACACGCAGGTTGTCAATAGCCAACTGGATCATAGCCAATAATAGCTCTGGCAAATTAATTCAAGGGTCTGTTAATTGCATGTAGATGGTAACAAAGTAGGTTACATTGATTACGCCTCCAATCCCCCTGACTGCAGGAGTCTGAGGGTGAAAGCAGGTTACCCTCTGAGCCCAGTTTGCTCAGGTCAATAAATATTTATTGAGAACCTTCTTTGTGTCAGACACAGGGCTGGGTGCTGGGAATACAAATCAGAGTGGGTCATTTTCCCACGCCCACGGAGCTCTCAGCCACCCAAGAGGACAGGCATGTCAGTAGGTAATTAGAATCTGGTGGAATGTGCACAGTTCTGGAAGCAGGCACAGGAGGTGGGCAAAGCAGGGAGACATGACTGCTGGGATGTCGTATGCAAGGAGGGGGTGGTTCCAGGCAGGTTTCACGGGGAGGTGACAGCCAAGCAGGCTGATGGATGAGTACATGCATGGCAAGTGGGGAGATGGCCCCTTGTCACTGGTGGAGGAGGTAAGATTGGCTCCCCTTTCGGAGGGCGTTCAAGTACTTGGGAACATTCCCACATGCCTGTTTGCCCAAGCTTTTCAAACTTGTTTATACCTCAGTGAGAAGGAACAGGCTGGCAGCTTCATAAATCTTCTGTTTAAAAAAAAATAATTCCTGGGGCGCCTGGGTGGCGCAGTCGGTTAAGCGTCCGACTTCAGCCAGGTCACGATCTCGCGGTCCGTGAGTTCGAGCCCCGCGTCGGGCTCTGGGCCGACAGCTCAGAGCCTGGAGCCTGTTTCGGATTCTGTGTCTCCCTCTCTCTCTGCCCCTCCCCCGTTCATGCTCTGTCTCTCTCTGTCCCAAAAATAAATAAATGTTGAAAAAAAAAATAATAATTCGGAAAATCCGTAGATTATTCCTGAATCAACAAATGTTATAATCCAGCCAGTGTTTGTAATGCTTAGGAAGAGGTTGTTGTTGGATTGTTCAATAGAAATGTAAAGATTTGTAGAAAATGTATTTACTCAGGAAATTCAATAACTTCTTTCTACACATAGTGGGTTTGGTTTTTGCTTTTATTCATGATTAATTGATACATTTTCTGCTTTTCCGAGATTCAGTTTTTTCTTGCTATTAAAGTTTTGAATTCTCCCTGGGTTCTAGGTGCCATTGTCATTGAAATGCCTGGATTAGGGCTGTCCAGTAGAATTTACTGCAGTGTATCTGTTGTCCAGGACCACCAACCCTAGCTACGTTTGGCTCTTGAACGCTTGAAATGTGGTTCGTGAGAAAGAGAAACAATTTTAAAGTCAATTTTATTTAAATTGACTTAAATTTAAATAAATAGCCACATGTGGCTGGTGGCTATTATATTGCACAGTACCGATCCTAGATGATGATTCAACTTGAATGTGTAAGGGTTCGATGAACACAATCCCCATCGCCTATATAACCAGGTTGTATTTACTAAATCACAAAGTGGCCGTGTGCCAAGAGAGATGGAGAAAGTAAGAATGAGTTGAAGACCGTTAAGAGGAGATATTAAAGGTCAGAGGGTGGTGGTCGAAAGGTCGAGGGAGAACCATAAAAGGGAAACGTGTCTTAAGGAAATCGAAGTACAAAACGGTAACTTTATATCATACAGGGGGAGCTCTTTTAAGTATTTAACTATTTGACATTCCAACTATAATTGTGTACCAGGAAAACTAATATAAAGGATTTAAATCACTGAGATGTTTTAGCCTGGGACAGTAAGTTAGGGACAATAGTCAAAGCAAGCTCGTTTGTGTTGGCTCCCCCCTAAGAAGATTTGCACGGTGGGCAAAGGAAGGTTATGAAACCCAGAAATGAAAAGCAAATGCATGATGGAAGGCTTTGGGCTCAGGATTTGGTTCTTAAGTCCATACTCTGCACATTGAGAAATTAAAAGGCTATGGCTTCCATTGACTGATTCAGAGGAAGCTTGTTCCGTAAGAGGAATGCATTCAGTAGTGACCCAGAGTCAGCCATGAGGAAAGGGAGTCATTTGATGAACTTGCATCCAAAAAGTGAGGGCAGTAGTTACCACGTCATTTGAGTGTCTGGTAGAACCTGATGAGGTGAGTTCAATTTTCTGTCAAAGCAATAAAATGAAACTAGAACCCAGTTAGTGGGATTCCTGAACTTGGGATAGCAGTGCTTATGCTTAATTTCATTAACACTCTAAATTAGTGCCGAATCCATGTCTG